GGATTACTATATTAGAGACTTTGAAAACTCTTCCTGGGCTGCCTGGCTGACACGGCAGTGCGTCGAGAGCTGCTCTTCACTTTTTCCACTTCGTTTTGGAGTTTTGCACGGCTGCTGCATTAATCATATCGCTGCGTACACCCTGCTGGCTCCCGGGGCATCGTCCGGGCTCAGAGTTAAACACCACAGAGGTCTGACTGTGTTTGGTGGATGCCAGAGGGCTGTCGGCATCCAAAACGACGCCCCAGCAGAAAGCCAGGAGGAAACTTAGTTTAATATTTAATGTTTCCATAGGAATCGTCTGTGCGTGCGTCTCTGCCACGTGGTGCAGACGTTGTCATGGCACGGAGCCCCGGCCTCGGGCGGGAGGGGAGAGCAAACGCACATCGCTCTCACCGAGTTCAACGCGGTGGAAAAATCCATATGAAACATTCCCTTTTGTTTAAAAGAGCTGGTCACAACTCAAATAACTTCAGCCATTATATATAGTGTGTGTTTGAAAGCTAAAAAAAAAAAAAAAATAAAAATAAAAGGATATGCCTTCATTTAAAAGGTGAAAGGATGAGCGTGACCGTGGACACCGGCTGAGACGTTTCCAACGCATTTTTTTACGCCAGCAGAGCTGTGACCGTGGCCTGACCACGCAGGGAAATGCGTTTGCAGAGCGCGGAGGCTCCGGCATCCCGGCACGCCGTGGCTGACCGCATCCCGGGTTCGGCACAGGGTCTGCCTGCAGCAGACTACCTGCAGCAACGCGTATGCGCGTGGCTCTGGCTGTCCTTTCCCGGCCATGACTGCTCATCCTCCATCACGTGCTCCCGAATAGGGAAAGCCCCTCATCCTGCAGCACCAAGTCAGCACCCTCCTAAAAAAACTCGTCACTTCATCAATTAAGGGATTAGAAAGAAACATTCACCTCCCCGGAGACCACACCAATTTTAGCACACAGCGGCTGCAAAGAAAACCACGGCTTTGCCAGCTCGCCATTTCTGTCCCTTAAATTTACCATAACTGCGCCCGTTTTGTAGCTGAGTACAGTTTAATTTCTCACTGCATTCGTTGCAATAAGTGCCCCCGCTCCCTCCAGCGGAGCAGGGCCAGACGGGCTCAGCGTGCCCTGAACCCGCTGCTCCGTCACACACAGAGTTCCTTATTAATTTGCTGCGAGCCTTCAGCAGTGCGCAGAACTGATTTTTCGTTTCCTTGCTCCCTGCGTGGACAAAAGCCAAGCTTTATAAATCAACCGTGTAAACAGAAATATCCTTCTTCCTTGAATGTGATTATTATTTCGAAAAAGGAGGCTGTCGTTTTAAGAGGCAGGAAACCTGTTTAATCTGGAGACTCCGGCTCTGATGCCAGGCGCTGGTTACCATAACATTTTTCTTCTGTCCTAAGTTTCTGAGTAAAAATAAAAATCTCTCATATAGACTGGTTTTGAACCGTTTTTGACCAGCTAAGATCAATTTTGGAGCCCCAGACACCCTTTCTGTAGAGTTACATCTATAAACTATTTTTATATCTGTGTAAATCAGCCCTCGGTGGTGGCCTCACCCCCCCCGTGAAACCAGAGCTCTGCCCGGTTCCACTCCGATTATACATTTTTTTGCACTGAAGAACTTAGTCTAAAAATAGGCGGCGAAGAATGGGAGAAGAGCCGTGGCACCCCCAGGAGGGCGGAGGGGATCTTTCCCAAAACCCCACGCCGTCGGCAGCGGAGCCAGGAACCAAACTCCGCTCTCCCTCTGCTTCAAGTGTTTGGCATTTGCCTTTGCATTTTTGTTTGGATTGGTCCTTGTTGCAAGGATGTACTTGAGGCAAAGCAGCTCCCGTGTCTCCCATAATGTTTAATGATAGATATTATTTACTAATCTTGTTCTAATTATAAATATTTGCCAGATGACAAAGGAAGGACAGAAACTCCCCGAAGCATACACAGAGCGCTCAGGGCACACTGCTATCTGTTCCTGGGAGGCAGATAGACCCAAATCCTGAAAAGGCATCGCTGTCACCTATGTGGTGCCTCCACTGACAGTGACACGAATGCGTCAATGCAGAATATTTCCTTCTGGAGTTCAGGTGATTTGTGAGACCAAGTAAACGAATGCAGCAACTCCCGCGGGGTGGCTTTGGAGGCACCGATGCAGAACACACAGAAGAACCTCTCCCTTCCACGAAAGGGGCTGACCGGCACCAAGAGAAGAGCAGGGAGATGGAGCAGAATACCCGGGAAACTCAATGGATGAGAAAACGTTACATGAATTTGGTGTTTAATCCAGAACAGAGAAGATGATGGGAAAGGCTTTTGGTTGGCGTTTGTGAGTCAAAGTTATTTCTCTTCTTAGAGCCTGTTTGAGGTCTCTCCAAAAAGAGCATGAGTAAGGTTTGGCTTTTCCTGGCAGCTTTGGGAAGGCTGCAGCTGCATTTCCCCCCTTGCTGCATGGGGTTCCCTGTGCCCGTTTCCAGGTGACTTCTGGCCGGTGCAGTCCCTCCTGCCCGTCCATGCAGGGCTGGGACAGGGACCACTGCTGCTGCAGGAGAGGATGGGGATGGGGATGGGGATGGGGATGGGGGGTGGGCTCCAGGAAGGATGCTCTGGAGGAGCCCAGCACCGGAAGGTGACTCATGGAGAGCTGGACGCTGCTGGGGTCTGTGCCGGGACAGCAGCAAACATCTACATTTCACCTCCCTGGTCCTTGCTAACCGAGCCTCCCAGCACAGCACCAGCGGCACGTGTAAATCTTCCCTACCCCTCGATACGGGGGCAGCCCTCGTGCCTCAATAGCCCCTATTCCCTCTCCTCATCACTCTGGTTGCAGATTTTTTAATATATAAAAATAAATCAATCAATCAATCATGCTGCAGTCTGTTTTAATCACCTGCCAGTTTTATTTAACACCACCAATACAAAAACATTCCCAACATAAGTCATCTGCAAACAATTTGAGTTCTCCCTTATATAACTCAGGTCCACCTACAGCTTTAACGGTTGTTTTGTTTCTCATTTAATTGTGCAAAGACGTGCGAAACCCCATTTCCATCGTGACAGCTGTCTCCTGCCTCTGATCCGGGGCTCCGAGCTATGGGGGACGGGCGACCGCTGGGCGGTGGTACAGGGATGCAGAGCTCTGAGGAGCTCTGGGACACACCAGCACCTGCAGCAGGGATGGGGCACCTTTCTGGGGACCTCGGCTGAGATGTCACCTGCCCAGCTGGGTCAGGGAGGGATGGGGAGGCTTCGAAGGGGTTTTGAAAAAGCCGAGAGGTTCCCAAGGTGCTCTCACATCTCATCCCTTCTTATGTAAGGCAGAGATTGTCTCAAAAAAAAAAATAAAAAAAAAAAGGCATGACCTGGCCAGCATGTGTCCCCATGGACTGGTGAGGTGCCGAAGTGCTGGGGTCTGGAGCAGGGCAGGCGGCGGAGCAGGGGGACTGCGGGGGAGGAATATTTATAGCACAAAGTTGTGACCTGAAGCGGGGAAGAGCACTGCGAGAAGACAAAACACACCTTTCCCCTCCTGATGGTCTCAGGACAATCGAAAGCATTGCTTTGCTTTTTCAGTCTTAGTGCAGGAACGATGCTGGAGCTTGCACTATATAGGATACCCCTCTCTTTTAACTTCCTCTTTTACAATTAACAGGAGGCAGCTGCAAAACCAGAAAAAGAAAGAAAAAAAAACACAAACCCCCCCCCCAAATTCAGAGGCCAAACCTGGTTTTAAATAAAGCCTCCAATGTGCTTTTTCCCAAGGGCTGGAAATGACCAAGTGTGCAGTTTCAGCTAAGAAAGTGCAGGCACCAAAATCAAAGAGCATCGGTGCAGTGCTGCTCTGCCCCGGGGCCAGGGAGGTGTGTGACCTTCGGTGCACTCTGAAACCCCCGTGGCTGCTCCATGTTGTCCCGAGTGACTTTGTCTCAGCAGTCCCTTGGACAAGGACCATCTGTGCTACATCCCACATCATCTCCTGGCTAAGGGATCATCCTGCTGGCATGCAGCATGCATGACCCTGCCATGCTGCGCTCAGTTCTGCAGCCTCCTCACTCCACAGTGGCCAAGTGGCCACCAGCCCTCCCGAGGGACCCACACATGGCCAGGACCACTGTGTGCTCCTCTGCAGATGTGCCAGCCCGGGCAGGACAGGGCTGGACGGCTTCTCTGCAGATGCCCTTTTTGCTCAGCATCCTTTGGGGATGGTCTCCACACCCCCCATCCCCCACAGACCCTCAGGGCACCCAGGCTGTAATTCCCGCAGTTAGCCAGAGGAGATTCAGTCCCCAATTAATGCGAAATAGTGAGAAATTGCTCTCCACACATTTCTGGGTGCCATAGAAAAGCGAGTGCAAAACGCACCACCAGCAAAGAGGCAGTGATGGGAGACGAGTGTCTGCAAACACACACGCTGAGGAAGTGTCACCCCTGTGTTTGACCTCCCCTTCCTTTCCCAGGCACAGGATGCTAACACTCATCGCATCCTGCCCTGGATGGTGTGGCATAAGGCATTATCCCTTAAACTTGTGAAGCGGGGAAGGAAAACGGCGTACTGCAGCTGCACATCACCGTCCTGAGATTGGCCCCAAATCTGCTCGCCCAGAAGCAAAGAGCCAGCGGTTTGTTTTTCAGCAGGGAGGTGCATGGGACAGTGAGGGTGACGTCTTGCCTTGGTGCTGGCCTGTCCCCAGGCACCCGGATGCACACCTGCACCTTCCCCCAGCATCACTGCAGGGGCAGTTTCCATTGCTGCACCCCTTCAAAACGCTTTTGCCGCCTTTACAGCTCATGCACAAAAGCCAGGGCTTTTATTGTGGGTTTGGGTTTGTTTTTGTTCTCCTTTCTCCTGCCTAAAAAGATGCTGAAATCTCCCAAAGGAAAATTATTTCCATGTGATCCCAGCACTTTCTCTCTTGGCTGGAACATTGGATGTGGTTTTGGGTCTGTGGTTTTTTGATAGATTTTTTTTTTTTTATTCACAAATTTTTTGGTCTTCGTTTCCATCATTGCGAGAGGCACCGTGCAACCCCACAGACGGGCTGCGAGTCCTAAGGAAACTACAGCAGGACAAAAGCACAGCAACCCGGCACGAGTTGATGCAAGCAAAGAAACAAGAAAAAACTCCCTTGCTTTTGCAAACAACCTAGCTGCTGGGTTTCATAAGGAGCCGGACTGACTTTCAGTGTTTCATTTGGACTCCAGCTAGGAAGCTGCAGCCGCCACTGAGGACTGAAAAACCTGAATGAACAGCAGCTTTCATATTATGCATCGTGCGAAGCAACAGCAAGGAAAGTAAGAGACGGGGGGTTCTGAGTCACAAGGTAAGTTAAATGGATCTGAGTAAATTGGGAAGGGGGGGAAATACTATTGGTATAGGGAACAAAGTGTTCCCACCCTTCAGAAGCAGGTTGCTCGGGTGAGTCACAGAAAGAGGTGGTCTCTGCCTGCGCTGCTTCGTCTCGCTTTTTCCGCTTCACTGCAGCAGGTGAAATAAGTGCAAGGCCAGGTTACTGCTGAGCTGGCTTTAATTTGTTCCTACTAACACTCCTTGTTTTGTTAACCACCCTTCAGACTCTGGAACGATGCTTTCTTCTAGTCTGGCTTTGCCCTTGGCTGTGGCTGAGCAGTGGGATGGGGAGAGCGCCCCATCCCGCGTGGCTCTGATCTGATGTGGCCTCCGCAAGAGCCCCGGGCAGGAAAAAGCCATTTCCTGGCATCCTCTGCAGACGTGGAAACTTTCAGGGGACTCCGCTTCCCCAGCCTCCCCGGGGAACTGCGGCCGTTTGAAATGTGCTGCTTGTTCCTGAGCTGCGAGCAGGGGTTTGCTGGGACGGGACAGTCCTGTCGCTGCCAGCACCCATGTCCTGGTGCTCCCACCCACCCAGGCGGGACACCCGCCGCAGGGACACCTCTACCTGCTTTATTTCAGCACACAGAAAGCCGAGTTCCCGGAGCGGCTGAGTCAGCGGTGGCAAGTCACGGGAAAGCCGCCTTTCGGCTGGGAAGGGCGAAGGAGGGTTGGGTGCCATCCACTTTGTCAGCACGATTTGCTCTGTCGGAGAAGCTGCCCTGGGAATGACTTGCTGTAACTCGCCCTGCGCCCCAGCAGCGCCGGGCTGAATCACCGTCTGGGCTTGCTACAGAGACGGCACCGCTTTTAAGGAGCCACCCAGCCCAGGGCAGGGCCACCTCCAGGACACTGCGGGCATGTTCCTGGCGCCGGTGGTGCAAGCAGGGATGAGGAGAAAGAGGGAGGGAAGAGTTGTTTGTTTAGGCACCAGCAAACATCCTTTTGCTCCCTGTCTGCGCTGAGGTAAGTGTGATACCAGCCCCTGTCGCAGAGCAGGAAAGGCAGTACCACGCGAAGGTGCAGGTGGACCTTTCCACACAGGCACAGCCTCTCCTCCCACAGCGCCTGCACAGGGCGGGGGTAAATCCCTACAACCCCCCAGGTCTAAGCGTGTGCAGGTAATAGGAAGGGGTGTTTGCTTGGGATCCTCATCTCTTCCCATGCCTGACAGGTGAAATTGCAGCTGGAGAGAGCACGTGGTGACCGCACGAACTGCTGCTGCTCAGGGGCATGTACTAATGGGGATGAAGAAGTGGTGAAACATCACCGCTCCTCCCGGGACAGAGGAATTCGGGGCATTCACCCACACTGGAAATAGGCACACGCTAAAAAAGCACCAGAAAATAAAAAACAAACCAGATAATTAGAAACAGAGCTACCAACTCACTGACCAAAAGTTCAGCCAGGCCATTACAAATAGGGATGCGGCTAACATCCCTGGACCTCTCCGTGGCCGGATCCTGGCTCTGCCTCTGTTCCCACCCTGCTCACAACTCGCAGGGCTCAAACTGACCCGGCTGTCTCGAGCAGCGCTCCCAGCCCCTCTTCTGCTTCACCCCAGCGCGTTGGATAAACACTGCGGACAAGAGGGCGTTAACATCGGTCATCTGCAAACCACTGCAGACAGCGGAAATTTGTAAACCATGTTGCTTTTTGGCTTCCAAATATTCTTGTCTGCGAGCCCTTGAGTCACTTCATGGCTGCAGACGGGCTCCTGATGCTCAGCTCGAGCGCAGCATCTCTGTGGCATCGCATCGGAGAGGAGCTGCCCCACGCTCGGCTCTGGCACTGCGGGCAGAGGAATTGCTGAGCTGTGGCAGCTTTGCCTTGGAAAACACACAAGCTCCTTGAGTGTTTCGGGCTTTTCGGGCTTTTCTACAATAGGTTGCTCATGAAGAAATTTTAGATCCTCCTGGGGAAGAAAATAATAATAAAAAAAAAAATCCCGAACAAATCATTTCCAAGAGGAAGTCCAGTGTCCAGACAAACCCGTCCCTAACGATGCTTCGTTTCCTGCTGCTGGCGATGCAAGGAGGTCTGGAGCAGTGAGGAGGTCAAGGCTTGAAAGAAGACGAAAGGTAAAAAAAGCAGAACCGGAATATTTTCCATCTCTGGAATGATGCCGAGGTTCGAGGCTGACACATCCATGTGTTTTCCATCTCTGTGGCGCAAGAAAGGCTTTAGTCTTAACTTCTCTCTTGGGTTTTCAGTTAAGATTTGTCACTAATTAAAATGGGCAGTGGCTGATGTTGTCCTGTGCGCCATGAATTTAAAGCAAAGATAGTCATAGATTGCTTTTCCGAGTGAACCCCTAGGAGTAACAGGAAGGAAAAAGCAAGCAGAAGTACAAAGCGCAGCTCAGGGATCCAGGAGCAATTTCTTCCTCCTGAACTCTCAGTATCGCAGCCTGTGAGCTCAGCACAGTTGTTAGTGGGACTTATTCTTCGAGCATCCCTGCAAGGTAAGGACATACTTCCACTGTACCCAGTGAAAATGCGGCTGGGGTGGATTAAGGTAGATCTGTATCTTTGGCTTGACCTGTACACCCCATGGGGGCTGCCTGCGGCGCCAATGGACCAGACAAGGTTTGGCCAAGATGAGGCTTCAGGTTGCAAACCCCGCGTTGCTAACCACAGGGAAAAAACTTTTTCTCCAGCTTCCAGGCTGATTTGCTCTGCATTCTTGCTTTATTTTCTCTGTGTGCAGCGCAGGTAAGCTCTTTTTGCAAATATTATGGGGCTTTCTTATCATTTCTATTGCCCAGATGTGTTACTTCACACCAAAGTGTTAAAATTCTTCGGGTACGCAGAATCATTAAAAAGCTTTGCATGAGCCTCATGCACAAGCTGTCTACCTTGAGCTATAAGATTAAACTCAATCACGAACCAAAAAAATCAATCAAGGTGCTCTCTCCAGCTGTAATAGTGTCAAGAAAATATATTTAAATAACAAGTTGCACGCAAGAAGAAAGAGTCACATCATTTAACTCCCTGAACTGGAACTAATGGCTTCTGCCCTTCCCTAGCAAAGGTTTGTGGCATCTCTAAAGCCCTGCATGGGAGGAATTTGGCTTTTTTTTTTTTTGCTGGCAGACATTGGGAATGCCAGGTGTCATTGGAAAGCCAGCACTTTTGATGCAGGTTGTTCATAGCAGGTTAAAAAATGTGTAAATAAAAAGCTTGATGGATTATATTTTAAGTCAGGGTACATCTAAGATCAGCGCAGAGCAAAAATACGTTGTTTAATCGTCTGTTCTGCCTTGGATTGAGCATGGCAGATGACAGTGTCCCTGGTTTAGGCATTGCATCCTCACCAGGGCTGTGAGGCAGCAGTTAAAGGGTTCATTAAAGGGTTTGTATTTCCAGCTCTGGTTAGGAACACAGACACACCCTTTCAAAAGGGACTGAACAATGAGAGTATTTGAATTTAATGGAAGGAGACTGGTGTTTTCACCTGCTTTTTCTTCTATTTTTGGGCCAGGCAGAAATACCTGAATAAACAATCCCTTTCAGTAATATTTTAATCGTAGTCTTACTACTCAGACATTCAGAGGGGAAGAAAAGGGGCAGAAAAAGCAAACAGTCTTTCTAAGCTAAAGGGTGGTTTCAGTCAAAGAAACTTTTCATTACATTTAAACAGCTCTCCAACAATAACACATATTCTAATGTTATAATGAACACAACCACCAGACATCCTCATCACTGAAATTCACGGGAATTAACTGCCTTTTCATCAAGTTCTGATGTCTCATTTCATCATCCATACATTTTCTTTTTGTTTGCCAAAATATTGGCCGGAAGATAGATGGGCCCATTTGGCACATGCAGAATTTCTTCCTTTAGCATCGGGTTCACTTCACACTTGGTTGCCGGTTTCATCCTGGTTCCACTTGCAGAGGTTGGGGACTGTGCTGTGTTTCATGGCTTTGGAGTGAGGAGGCTTTGAAAGTCTTATGGGAAGGGCAAGTTGTTTATCTTGAAATTACCCATTGCAACCGAACGGGTTGTGTGCTCAGCCTTGTGGTGAGCTTTCTGCTCCACGAGCATTTTGCAAGAAGTGTCAGAAGCGTCAAAACAATTTACATTTTTCTACCTGTCGCCGCAAGCTTTTCGACTGAAATGTTTCAAACTCATCAAATGTCAATCACCTGTTTCAAGATGAACCCAAGCTAAAAGCAAAGCCAAAGAAGCTGAACTGAAAAAAGTGGTTTAGAGAGATGGAGGGATGAGACCTTCTTTTCCTCAGGTGAAATATTTATGGACTTCAAAGTTTCCAAAGACGTGAGACCATTTTTCCTCCCAGCCATTAGAATGTCTGCGTGTCTGTCATCATCTCTGGGTTTTTCTACTTGATAGGAAAAACAAGATTTCTGAATTGAACCAGGTTGCAATTTGCAGCTTCTGCATATGGAAGACAAAGACAATAACTTATACTTCCAGTTTTAACCTGTTGCTTTCAGGATGCTCCTGTCCATCCCTAGAGTGGTGTTGTGAAGGATGACCAAGGAGGAACATACTCAGTTTTGCAGCCTCAGGGTATTCGGTGCGGGACTAATGCATCATTTCAGGCACTAAGGAGCGTGTCGCATCCCAGCAGGGATCTGAGTGATGCGCGGGAGCGGCAGCCTCCCAGCCTGTGCTCTGGTGAGTCACGGCCAGAGCAGAGCAGAGCCGAGTTTGTTTTTTGCTGTCTTCTCAAGAAGATAAACCTGTGCAGCTGAAGTCAAATCCATCATTGCCACATTTGACAAAATAAGGTCACAATAATTATCTTTAAGGGAAAAAACAAATGGCTAAAAACAACTTCATGCTTTACTTCACAGGTCTTAAATTCAGAGCTTCATTCTTTTTCTATCTTTTTTTTTTTTCTAAGTCATCAGGTTTGACTTCTCCACCACCACAAGAGTTATATTTGCTTCTCTTCTGAAATTTGGCTCAAATCATTCTTTTCTCCAGATTGACATGATCTTATTATAAAGAAATCCTTACCAGGTTTGTTTCCTTTCCTGTTGCACATTTGATTTCTCTGGTTTGGTGTTTTTCCTTAACCTGATCTCCAGTTTTGTGCTGAATATCTTCCAAACATAATCCCATACTGCTGAATTAATTTTCCTTTTCTTGCAGTCCTCTCAGACTCCTTTCTCTCCACATCTTTCCTATTTCAC